AATGCATCTCAGCACGTTGACTGAGTTCAACAGTTGGAAACATGGGACAATTTAACACCGCATTATATTGCAGGCACACGATAAGCGCAGAACTGGGGTTCAACGTTGAACATAAACTTCACGAGACGCACCTTTTGCGATAGAGATATGAGTTCTTTTATGCTGTGGGTGATCTTTTCACTGGTCTCGATGATGATCATTTGCAATCATCAACCGGTCGTCTCAGCCCAAGGAGCCGTAAAAAAGGGGCCTTCTCATCTTTTTCACCAGCATTAATGATCACTGCATCAACATCGTAAGCCGCTTTCGACCGCCCAAACAAAAGCTCTTGTCAGCGTTGTTCAGACAACGTATGGAAAATACGATATAAACCTGCTGATGTCCAGTATTGTCTCGCCTAAAAGCATGTCCCGCCCTGTGTCAAAGTTTGCCGAATGGCTTGCCAGGGCTCCCGTCCAAGACAAGTATGGTCTTTGTGGGCTCCTCGCTCTTGTATGCTGGATATCTTATAGCCTCGCACGCCGATTCAGCCATTTGCCTTTGAGGTTGCAACACGCAGTATCCTGGAGACGCTTCTTCCAGGCGCCAACACCAGGCATGCTCCAGTGGCTCGATATCCCATCATACTTGCAAGGGGGAGTACTTGCAGCCCTGGTGATTGTCAACATTATTGCAATCAGTCTTCATGCTCGGACCTGGGCAGATGTGCAGAAGCGAGCCGGATGCTTGGCGGTCACACACCTTGTTCCCCTCTGCTCTGGGTTTAGCTTCAGTCTTCCGGCTCATGTCTTCCGTATCGAACGGGGCACGCTCCAGTGGGCCCATCGGTGGCTAGGCCGCATTTGCGTGCTGCATTGCCTTCTTCATGGGTCCGTACTAGGCACAGTTGCTCGAAATACAAGCCTTGGAGCTTCCCTCGTCATCCCACTCCTGGTACGCGACGGCTAGAGAACGGCAGCCTTCCCATTTCCCCAAAGGATGTCGGACTAGAAGTGGCTAATATTGAACAGGCCGGATGCAGTTTCGTCTCGATCTTTCCTTGGACGCTCGCTGCGATTCTTCGGCGGTGGCCGCAACTCGGCCTCAAGGTCCACCATGTGCTTGCTTTGGTCGCCACCGGTACCCTTTTCTATCATTTGATCGACCGGGTATCGTCCTACC